GCACCAAGAGACCCTCTTAATAGTGTGTTGAAGATATATCCCACAACAGAATCTTCAACTCCTGCCAACCTGCAGCTCAGGCAAGCTGAAACTAGTGATCTGATGAGAAAGGGATTTTTTTAAAATCAGAAAACACAGCACATTCTCCTGTGCAAACATTCTGATTTGCACAGAAGTGCCAAAGGAAGATCAAAACCATCATGGTTCCAGCTGAGCCAGTGTAGGACTGTCCCCTCCCATTCAGCCATGGGGTTTTGTACCTCTGGGACTGTTGTGTCCTGAGCCTGCAAAAGCAGGCTCGGGACGTTGCATTGGTCCCGGGCATTCCAAAAGCTGCCCGGGACCAGACTGAGTGGCACCAGATTTGTGCACATGCGCAAGGCACGGAAACGCCTTGTTACTTTGTTTTGCCATTGTCCGGGTCTCCGGACAAATAAAGAGGCCTGCATGCCTGTTGTTTTTGTTCAAGTATTGATTGAGGAGGAATAAAGAGCTGTTGAACTTCATCATGTCTATTCATCATTCGCAAGCGAACGGAGTATTTAACAGGGACCATTTCTGCTTTGGCTGCCAGAGAGATCAGAATCTCCTTGGCAACCAAAGTTTGCTTTGTTACTTTTAGGCTTAGGTAGGAATAGCAATCTTCAAGAAAATATTCCCAAAGTTTGTTGTTCCTACAACAGTAGCCTCCTGTTAGCCTTTCAAGGTAGTCCAACAAGAAGCACAAGCAAGAGCATCATAATTATCTATATTATAGGGTTACATTAAACAGAATCTTCTGAATACTTCAGAAAGACTGAAATATTTCTCCCCTTCTCTCTTTCCATTCTCTAGAAAACTAGAGCATGTCTTTTCTGAAATACTTCCCATACTTTACCCCCACATGCAGAATTGTTACCTAGATTACAGATCTTCCTCCTGTCTCCCAAGATCATTCCCATCCACAATCCTATCTCCAGTTATTGGATTTTTTTTTTCTGTTCCATCAGATGCTGAGCTTTCCTGAAGAGGAGAAGAACCTTGGGAGATCCTTCATCCTCTCTAATTCTCCCTGCACTTGTCCTTATCTTCATGTTTTCCCCCATAGCAACCTCACCTGAAACATACATATAGAATTAGGAACAGGTAGCAGGCTATTCTGAATTGTTGTGGCTTTCCATTGTGACTTTGCAGACAATTCCTTTTTTCATCTTCCAACTAAATAACAACTACACTCTGGGCTTTGTGTGTGCTGTTTAATGTACCTTGCAAAATACCCATGTATTTGTTTACGATAAAATAATACGTTGGAGATATTTTTAAAAATTATGAATGTAAAGATAACTTTATATGCAGCCTACATGGAAAGGTTTTGGAGCTGCTTCAGCAATGGAAGAAGATATTATGCATTCTCTATGTTCCAGTCCATTTATCTTCTCATTAAAAGTGGCTAAAACCCTATATCAGAATCATAGAATCTTAGAACTGGAAATGATTGGAAATTGGAAAAGAGAGCCAGTTTGTTGGAGTGGTTAAAGCATCAGGCTAGAAAGGGGAAGACTATGAGTTCTACTCATGTCTGGGGCATAAAGTCTGATGGATGTTCTTGGCCAGTTCCTCTCTCTCAGTCTAGGAAGGAGGCAGTGGCAAACCACTTCTGAAAAACCTTTCCAAGAAAACTGCAGGGACTTGTTCAGGCAATCATGAAAAGTCCAAGACTGGACTTCCGGTTTGTCATCGCGGCTGCCATGGACACTGGAAGGTGAGCTCCATCTTCCTTGTTCAATTTTGCACCGCTGGGGGATCCTGGAAAAGATCAAAAGTTGCCCTGTAGGGCGATCAGCAAGGAGGAGATCCCCACTTGATTGCAGGAGGGCTCTAGCCCTTCTGCTCAATCCAGGGCAGCCCTCCAAACTGGCAGACGAAAGACCAGGCATAGCAATATGGCTGGTCACTAAGCTACAGACAGTCAAACTCAAACTTACCACCAGGCTCTCCAGATGAGACTGGATGAGATCTGAACCTCTCTTTAATCCTAAGTGTTTTTTTTCTCCTGCAAAAGCTGCCCAAAGTATCTTCCACCCTGTGAGAAAGAGGGAAGGGAACTTTTATCCCACCCTCTAAGAATAGCAGTGACTGACTATCCAGGGGAGTTAAAACACTGAAAGAATAACCTTAATCTAACTGGATTTATATGCTTCTAGAATTTGGGGGCCAAAATATTTCTTATCCTTATTGAAGACCTTGATTTTTATTTACAAAAAAGAAATAAAATTGGAAAAAGGATTATAAAAATTTTGGACTTAAAAAACCTTAAATGGCATTGGTGACATCTTGTGGTTAAGTTTGATATTACAACTTGTTATTGTCTAAAGGAGACTTGGCAGAGCACGAGGGCAGAGTCTTGTCTCTGCTGCCCCGCTGCCATGTGCTTGGCTACGCTGCTCTGTGCGAGCTGTGCCTGGGGGTGACTCTCCTCTGGGGGGGCTGCTGGTGAGGAGGGGGCCATGGGAGGAGGCAGGGCTGAGGCGATGGTGTGCATGCCCACAGAGAGGGCTCCGAGTGCCACTTCTGACACGTGTACCATAGGTTCGCCACCACTGGCCTAGATATACGAACTCAAATTTTGACTACAACTAAAGAATCAACTACACAAAACATAAGAGAAGAAGTGGAACAATTAAACACTATGACAGAGGATTCAATTGACCAACAAATACAGTCAATGGAAAGTCCAGAAAAGGGACTGACAATATTGAAAATGGAAAAGACTTTCTATATAAACTAGAAGAAACTTGAGGAGCAAGAAGAAGAACAGACTGAAGGGAAGATAAACATACCAGGACAATTATGGGGATCTGGAATAATAGAGAGATGATTTATTAACCTTTCCAAAAAATGGCGACTGGATGGTCTCTTTTATTTCAAATAATATATATAATAACAGAGGGAGATCTGTTTGATGACCTAAAAGCATTGACATGAAGGGCGAGATGGCAAAGGAAGAAAGCTAGAATAAGGCTGAAGAAAATTGGGGTTTTGATTTATCAGTGAGGATTTTATATTACTAATTAAAATAGAATATACTTAAATAGACAAGACGTATACTTTGAATACCAGATTTTGTTATGAATTGAGATAAAGAAAACTTTGGTCATTTAAAACTTGGAAATATAAATACTAAAAGTTGAATTTGAATATTGATGGGAAATTAAAAACTGGAGAAAACAAATAAATAGGATATTGATTGTTTATAAAGATTGAATGTAAAAGTAACAAAGTTACATAATAAGCTAAAATTTATTGATAAATGTAATAAATATATTTTTATTTAATTGAGATAATAACTGTATTAGCGTAAATATGAGAAAGTAGATATCAAGAGAAAAAGAGAGGAAATATTTGATGTTGAAATAGGGGAAATTTTGGTCATTAAATTTAAGAAATATGAAAACTAGTTGAAAATAAAAAATATTATATCGTATTATTAATTAGATGATATAAGATGGTCGGAAATAGAATATACTCAAATAGATAAGATGTGTATTTTGAATACTAGACTTTGTTAAGAATTGTGATAAAGGAAACTTTGGTTACCCAAAATTTGGAAATTATAAATATCAAATGTTAAATTTAAATATTGACGGGAAACTAAAAATTGAGGAAAACTAATTACAGGACATTGACTGTTTATAAAGATTGAATGTTAAAGTAACTAGGATATGTATAAGCTAAAAAGTTATTGATAAATGTAACAATGCTATCTTTACTTAATGGATATAATAAGAATTGTATTAGTTTGAATATGAGACAGCAGATATTAAGGGAAAAGGAGAGGAAATATTTGATGTGGTAGTTTGAGATTTGTACTAAAGATTTTTGTATGTTATTGACTAACTCAGCCACCACGTTGCTTTTTAAATACTTAAATGTAAAATTAGAAAATCAATAAAATATTACAAAAAAAAGAAAAGTCCAAGACTGACTTGAAAGCATTTTAGAATCCCAGATTTTTGAATTGAAAATTTTAGAAAATTGCTCAATACATGTTTTTGCTCTTAATGGATTTTTAATAGAGGTATGCCAAAATCATGGAACATTCCAATCTCATCACAATTTGTTCTAAATGTCCTGAAAGTGGTCCAACTGAAGAGTAGCCCATGCTTAGGAAGGAGCATTTCTGGATTCCTCAGGCCAGAATGCCCTGTAATCCTTGTAAATCCTAAGAAACAAAGATCCACCACATTTAACTGGCAGCAGAACAAATGGTAACTATTATGTATCCAAGGTAGAATTTAATATCATGACTACAAGAATTGTTCCAAAACTATTGCATTTGCAGTCTCTCTCTCTCTCTCTCTCTCTCTCTCTCTCTCTCTCTCTCTCTCTCTCTCTCTCTCTCTCTCTCCTAGTTACTCTAATTTGCTTGAGTGCCAAACTACTTTTAAAAACAAAATTCAACTTAACATGCCATTCAAACAATTTTAGCTCTACAACAATCAGCAAATTATATTTAAATTCTTTTAAAAAGGAAAAAGAACAGCATTCAGACATTATCATCCATAGTGAGGGCTGGGGTGGACAAGAGTATCAAATGTTGACATGGATGTTGCAATGTCTTCCTGCAGATGACACAAATAGGGTATACTTAACCTGACATAATGTCACCAAAGCAAGTTGACTATTGTGTTGACATCATTATTCCCAGATTGTCATTTTGACATCACAATTTGTAACTGATGACTTGGAAGCACCTTACTCAGCTCAGGTTATTTTACAGTGACAATTCTCTGAGCATAAAAATGAATGGGGGCTTCATATATGCCATCTTGAATCCTTGGAATAAAGGCAACACAATATAAGAATTATTAATTAATTAGCTGAGCAGCAGACATAAATGATGGACATATGATGGATTTTAACATAACATCTCAGGGTGGCCTCCTTTTCCCTAGAAAGTAGCTATGATGCAATCATTTGTTCCTATAACTTTTTTTTCATAACTTAAATTTCTTTTTTAGCTCTCTCCATGGCTTGGCAAAGACTTTACATGAAGGACATATTATTTCAAGGGACAGGTTATATGTGTTACTGAAAGATAGAGTCCTCGGTCCAGAGCCCACAAACATTATCTTGTTTCTTCAAGATGCAGTAAGTATGCTCTCCTTATGTATGTTAGATGAGCTTATATAGAATACAACAACATGGCATCTCTCTAATAATCTCTATCACCTCTCTATTTTTCAGCTTAGTGTGGAATACTTCACACAATACACCGACTTCTCCGGAAATGAGTCACTATTTCACAATGTTCAGGCAAGCATAACTATTCCATCTGGCATTTCCCAGCAGTTTTAAGAAATAAAATCAAAAAAGCATGCTTAAAAGAAATGGCACAAGGATCTTTTGAATTCCAGAAAGAGGCTGAAGGCTCTTTCAAACTTGATAAGGATAGATTTCTGCTATTTGTTTTATAGTGTATGGAAGAACATTTGAAATTATTCAGAGTTTACAGCTCATTCTACCTGTTGGTCCCAGGAATGGAAATTAGGGGTCAACCCATTCTCACTTCCCCAGTGATTTTCTCAAAGCCCACTTAAGAATACAAATCAAAATACAACCTTACAATGCTTTCAGAAGCTGTTTTCTGAAGATGGTTCTTTCAAATGTAAGAAATTCTTTTTCCAGGTAAATTTATTCCTCCAAGTTCTTATACATATATATTAAAATTCAGAAAAGATTTTCCATTTTGATTCTTTAAAAAGGAAGTCTACATTTGAGAACTCTTGATTAATATTAATTGCTGACAAATCTTAACCTTTCCTTTTATAAGATGGAGGGCCAGATAAAGATTCTAAGAGTACATATATTGAATTGATCTTTAAAAATCCCCATTTTGTTTGCTGTTCTCCCAAAATTTGTGAGTGCTCGGTACCAGAAGCATGTAGTTACTATTGTATGGATACTCATGGAAGTTACTATTGTATGGATACTCATGGAAGTTAGGAATACCTTGTCTGATTACGTAGGTGTATATTAAGTCCTCTGATACACAATTTTTACTTTATTAATTTACAGTATTCATTGACATTAGCCACATTAAATGATAGCTTATTTTAATGACTAATTAGGACAAAGAAGTATGCATTATTTATTAATGTCCATTAAGCTGGAGAGTACCTGCCCGCATTGATTGGTGTCACTTACTTAATTACATTCTTATGCCAATGAAGTAAGCAGAATTATTTACATAATACTTTCATTGTGCAAATGAAGTTAATCAAAACAGAAAAAAGGATCAATTCAAGTATTTGAGAGGCTGCCACAAAGAAGAGGGGGTCAAATTATTCTCCAAAGCACCAGAGAGCAGGACAAGAAACAATGGTTGGAAACTGATCAAAGAGAGAAGCAACCTGGAATTAAGGAGAAACTTCCTAACAGTGAGGACAATTAACCAGTGGAACAGCTTGCCTTCAGAAATTGTGGGTGCTCCATCACTGAACGTTTTTAAGAAGAGACGGGACAGTCACTTGTCTGAGATGATATAGGTTCTTCTGCTTGAGCGGGGGGGCTGGACTAGAAGACATCCAAAGTCCCTTCCAGCTCTATTCTAGTCAAACCATTGAAATCCTGTAAACTCAGGTTTTACAGTTCTTATGTCAGCAGTATGGGGCAGCCTATATTTTACAAAGGAAAGAATGCAGGTTTTTTGCAATAATTAAACACTGGCTTTAAAAACATCACTAGTGTTGTCATACATTAGATTTGTGTAGGAACATTAGTAGTTGAGGATCAGTAGCTGTTTATACAGCTATTCTTGCACTGACTTTGGTGTGTGTACCCCCCAAAAAATTGGATATTAAAATTGAATACCGTCTGTCTTCAATATAGTGCTCCATAAATCAGTCAGCAATATTTTGCCTCTTTGAATGTTCTTTTTTTTAAATGAGATATATTACATATCAAAGCAATTTATTAAATTACAATAACTGTATGCTAAGTACTTCAGAATTGTAGATAGATTCAGGGGCAGTGGAAAATCCCACAACTGGCCTACCATTTGGCTGTTATCTTATACAGCTGATCCTGAGAAGTGACAACTGGATTTTGGGGGGAAATATTTTTTTTGTCATGAAGTATGGTATGTGAAGACCCTGTTCCAATGACAATATTGAAGAAAGATTCACCTACTGAGCTAATTTGCTTCCATATGTTGAATAGAGGAAAGCTGGCATCTAGTTTACCTTGCTTATCTTACATTTGCCCTGCCAAATCCACTTGTTTTCATCTCAACAGCTTAAAGCTTAAGCAGATTCTCTGGCAATAGTAATAGCACTTAGACTTATATATTGCTTCACAGTGCTTTACAGCCCTCTCTAAGCAGTTTACAGTGTCAGCATATTAACCCCAACAATGTGGCTCCTCATTTTACTGACCTCAGATGGATGGAAGGCTGAGTCATTCTTGAATCAACACCTAGTAGTGAGCTGAATTAGCTACAATACCGCATTCTAATCACTGTGCCACCATAACTTATAAGGGAACATGAGGGAACATATGCATCTGTTGTTTGGGGATGGTTGCATAAGTGTTCCTTTTATACATAAGTGAATTTTAACATTTCCCACTTGAATATGCCTTGCCTCCCCCACCTTCCAGCAGAAAGTCAGAATCAATCAGCAGGCAGGGTGCACACCTTCACGCAACTTGGAGTTGGGATTTGGGAGATGTTTTCATCAGCATGTCTGCAGTCATGTGCAACCTCTGCTTATCTTTCAACTTCTTCACAGTGTAGGTATGTGGCAACGGCTATGGGCAGTTGTGGGCAACTCTAAATCAGCCTTAAGAAAGGCCCACTGTTATCTATGTACAATCATATCTCAGTACTAAACTGCTTGAAAACTCATCAAATTTGGTATTCAACACATTTTTGAAGCAGAAATCTTGTCCCAGCACTCATTTCTCTCCCGGTAGTCAATGTGCAAAGAAGAATGTGCTGACATCAGCTGTCTCATGACTCATTATTTCTTCCAGATGAAATAGAAGGTCACATGGTTTTCTCATTGGTTTTAGAATTATGGACAAGTACTGAAGTACCACTGTATTGTCAAAGCAATGCCCCTAAAGAAGAGTTGTGGCAATCATTACGCACATCTGTTGGCTGCAGAAATTTAGGCTCCTTTGCTCTTTTGTCAGATATACCAATATGAGCTGTTTCTACTCACTTTATGAAAGGAGAGGACAAAGTCACTATGGACATGTTACTCATTTCTTTGCTATTTTTACCTAGAAGCAATGATGATGATAAAAAGTAGATATTGCTAGTTTTTCTCTTGCCTATGTTCCACCTGCATGGTGACTTCTGCTCTTGCCTACTCACCATTTGGTGGGTTATAGATGGCAAATAAATGGGTGAAATAAGTCATTAAAAATAAGTGACAAATGGTAAGCCATTGAAGCATGTATCTGTCTATATAGGTCAATTCTTGCATTTTGCTAATGCAAAAGATATAATATCCTGACTCTGTGCCTTATACAGTAATTGATTCCGTTCAGAAGAATATATATATATATTTGGTTAACATTTTTTAATCTATTCAGTTACATAGTTTCCACTGGAGTTGAATAAAGGGATTTGTATAAAAATATGTTACAGTTTAAGAATCAGATAGCAAATAGATGAAATTAAATATATTAAATATTTGAGAACAGTAGCAATACTAATTATTAACTGGTTTATCATGAGGATGCTCCAACAGCTATCGCCTAAGAGGGAACAGATGGTTTTTTTATTTACTTTTAACAAATGATGTTAATAACTGTGTGTTCTAGAAAATGTATCTCAAATGTTTTAATTGGCTTTCCTTTGGGTAGAAGTGAGAGTCACTAATGTGGCACTGGATGTATAAGTTTATCCAAGAATGGATAAATGTTCTTATTAGCATCTAAACATTTGTTTGCTAAATTTGATGAAACCCATATGACCATTATGATGTAGATAAGCAGGTTAATTCATATTTTCTCTGCTGAATTTCAACAAGAGATATAACACAGTTTTTGTTTTCCAAATGGTAGGAGCAAAAAACCTGGAGTGGCTTCTCAGTGCTGAAAAACAAAACAAAACAAAACAGTAAAGCAACAAATGAAAATTAACATTAAATCCAGCAGGGGGTTAGAATAAATCAGCATTCAACCAGTCAATTTACTTTTAAACATAAGAATCAAATTCAAGGAAAAAAACTTTGAAAAGTGCAGTTAAAAGCCAAGATTTACTTTAAAAAGAAACAGCTAAGAAGAAAGATGGAGACTGGGACTCTCCAACTGCGCCTCTAGGAATTGCATCCTCCAGGATTCTTCTTCAGTTGTCCACAGTTGTCCGAGAGTCATCTTGGATCATTCCTAGATGCTCCCATTCGATTGAGTGAGCTGGCTGCCAAGGAACCACTTTGGCAGAAAAACCAGCTGTTCATCGGCAGGAGAAGCAAAACCCCACCAACACTCAGTATGCCATCTGGGAGGGAACATTTGAGCAGTTCACTCAGTGTTACAGTTTGTTACACTTTGGTCATCAATTATAAGGTGGCCATGAATTTGCTGGCAGAGCATTTACGCCTCTCAAAAGAATAGAATAGAATAGAATAGAATAGAATAGAATAGAATAGAATAGAATAGAATAGAATAGAATAGAATAGAATAGAATAGAAACTTTATTTCACTTTAAATGTACACTAGTCAGCATACATTAAAATGAAATTGCATTGCATTCAGCTTTCAAAAAATACCATTATGTATATACCCCCACCCCCACCCCACCTCCCCATACACATATATGACAGAGAGAAACATCACAGTCTAGTTTAAATGTATTCATATACTTGGTGAAAAAAAAAAGAATCTTGTGAATTTACAAGACGGATGGCATAAGGAACAAAGCTGTTACAGAATGTAGTAGTTCTGCTATAAATACTTTGAAACCTCTTTCCAAAGGAAAGCAACAGGAAGAGACCATGAAGTGGTTGTGTGGGATCTCTAACAATGCTTTGAGCTCTAAGCACATAGTGCTTATAAGCAGTATCCTGAATAACAGGAAGTGAGTTTCCTATAATCTTCTCAGCTGTCCTTGCCATTCTCTATATGGACCTTCTGTTTGAGGCACTGCTACCACTAAACCAAACAGTGATGCTGTTTGTTAAAATGTTCTCAATCATGCCTCTGTAAAAAGTGGCCAGGAGAGAAGGAGAAAGATGTGCTGTCCTCATCAGACGCAAGGAATGCAAACACTGGTTTGCATGCTTCACTAAAGGTAATGTATGAAGAGACCAAGTCAGATAGTTAGTTATCTGATCCCATCTGTTACCATATTACATGTCAGTGTTTTTTACTTCTTGGTAGATTGGTCACAAAACAGCCAGTTTCATACCTACTTATTTTCAAAACATGTAGGACATTTTCAATATTGAATTTTTTCCTTGTTGTTTTCAGCAAGGTGTTTTCATTACTGCGTTGTTTGTGTAATTGCTTGTCAAATTCTTATTGAAGATAATAGAATTTATTTTGCATAATGGAAACTATAAAAGATTGTAATCAAAGCTGATCAGAGTATAAAAAGCAATCACCCTCTTAAGGTCTTTAATTATCTACTTCATAATTAACTGCTATTTGTATTTACTGCAGGAGCTTCTTGAGACTTCATCATCTTCATTGGTTTTGCCAGCAGTTGATTGTCATGCTGTCAGTCATTTTTCAGGCCACCTCCAGAAGACTCTGAACTGGAACTTGGTAAATGTAGACAGCCCTGACATATCAAAACTAAGAATTAATATCTCCAAACCCAACTTATTTGAGATAAACCTACCACCTATCAGAAGGTATGAACTCTCATAAGGACTAAACATCTTGCATGCTTCCTTAAAGCAGCTGAGAATTTTCGTAATAGTGGGCCTTATGTAAGAATAATGTCAATTGAAAACCAGTTATGAGTTATAATAAGTAATGTATTCTCCTTAGATACAGGAAGATCCAACAGCCAAAGATTCTCCTATATTATTTTGGGATGCACACAAGTCCTTCAAATTTTAGAAGAATACATAGATGGAGTCATGGAAGAAAACTTATAAAGTATCAGAAGAGAGTATTCCGCTTCCCAATAGTGAGGAATATAATCATGGTGAAAGTAGGTTTCTTTGGTACAGGTAGTCCCCAACTTAAAACAGTTCACTTAGTGACCATTCAAAGTTACAATGGCACTGAAAAAAGTGACATGACCATTTTTCACACTTATGACCATTGCAGCATCCCCATGGTCATGTGATTTTCATTCAGACTTGACAACTGATTCACATTTATGAAGGCTGCAGTGTCCTGGAGTTATGTGAACACCTTTTGCAATCTTCTGACAAGCAAAGTTAATGAGGAAACCAGATTCACTTAACAACTGTGTTATTAATTTAACAACTGCAGTGATTCACTTAACAAATATGGCAAGAAAAGTAATAAAATAGGGCAAAACTCACTTAACAAATTTCTCACTTAGCAACATAAATTTTGGGCTCAATTGTGTTATAAGTTGAGGACTATTTGTATATAAAATCCTAGCATATCTGGAAAGAACCAACTTGAGAAAAAACAGCTCCAGATTTTATGCTTAGTCTAGCAAATCCTGAAATGGTTTATGTAGGAGATATTGGACACACTGAATGGATCTATTTATCTCAAATAGAAATTTCTCTCTCATTTGGTTTCTTTTTTTGCCATGATCTCTCATTTTAGGCTGTTCTATAGGTGCTGTCAGCAATCTTATTAGGTAAAAATCATTCAACTGAAGCCTAAGTTATTAAGACTGGCAAAAACCTGATTATCTGTCTTACTCAATAAAAACTGTTCTGCTGTCAGTTTGTTTTTAAGCAGTTTCCCTTTTCTTTCTGAAAGAGCAAATTACTGCCCAAGCATTAGATTTCTTTGGGAGGAAATAATTGTAAATAAAAAACACAAACTAGACATGGCATGTTTACCTGGGTGCATTTCAATCTTATTGTTGTTGTTGCTATTGTTGTAGTCATCATCGTTGTCGTCATCATCATCATCATCATCATCTCATTTTGAAATATTGTCTTCCAAGTGAAGGCTTAATTTACCCTTATCCTTATGCTATTATGTTATGCTGATTATTCTCCATTTTGCAGATTCAATGAAAGTCACTGGGATACATAAGCCACTATATGACATTTTAAATGATACTAAAGTTGTTTTAATATTGCAGAAAGCAGGTCCAGCTTCTGAGACATATTAAACATTGTGATTGTTTTTAATATCCATAATTGTCAGCACTTTTTATCTAAAATAATGTTCCTTTAGTGGATCCCCTATTTATTTCAGGACTATATAATTTGTCAAAACATTCACTGATAATGATTATTACAACACGATATCTTTGCTACAATATTTGAGTATGACACCATATGTTTTATGTTTCCTCTTGAAAGTATATTAAATATTTTTAAGTAAAATATTTTTAAATGCAAAATATTTACCTATTAGTTACTTTTGCAATATTTTAGTTTTCCTTTCAATATTTTTCATGCAGAAAAGATGAACTTCCCATTCAAAACAAGCTCATGGAAAACGGTAGGTGATTAAATGAACTTACCTACAAAGAATAAATGGGGAAAAACTTTGCCAAGGGATGAGATGATCAGTAAATATAAAAGGAAAAAGGGCTGTTGTGCTAGATAAGGATATTTTTTGTTCATTTATTTTCATTTACATATTTGAATTATACCTACATAACTGCTCTGTGGAAGACTCAAAATAACTAATAAAATGTGGGAACAATAGCAGAATATAAAAGATAGAATTACAAATCAAAACCAACAATGTATAATCCAAAGGTATCCATTATGGGACTTTGGCTTGCATATAAACTAATATCCCTACAAGTTACACTGCTTTATTTGAGAGCTTTGCCCAGTCCTTTGGGCATGAAATAAATCATTAGGTTTACCAAAGTTGATAGCCCTTCTTTCCAAGAACAAGTGTGAAGAACACCAGCTTTACTGGAGTGGGCAACTTTATAGTGACCACAGGTAGTTTGAAGTTATAGTGGCATTGAAAAGCATGACTTACAATTCATCCTTGCAGTTACAACCATCAGAATACCTCCACAGTCACATGACCAAAGTGCTGGTGCTTGGCAACCAGCATGTATTTACGATACTTGCAGCATCCCAGAATCATGGGATTGCCATTTGCAGCCCTCTTAGCTGGCTTCCAACAAGAAAAATCAATGCAGAAAGCCAGATTTGCTTAACCATTGCATGATTCGTGTAACTGCAATGATTCGCTTAACTACCATTGCAAAAAAGGGCATGTAAAAATTTCTTCGCTTAGTAACACAAATTCTGATCCCAAAAATGGTTGTAAGTCAAGGATTACCTGTAATACAGGGGTGTCAAACTGCCGGCCCACAGGCCAGAAGCATCATGCAGAAGCTGCACCCACCCCATTGCCGGCAATGCAAAACTCTCCCGATACCATGCGCAACATCACGTGACATTGTGAGTTTGACATGTCTGCTGTAATAGATACAGTTGACATTTAAGAAGATCCTGAAGACTCTAACAATCAGGGAAAGGTTTTTGTTTCTATTTTCCTGGATTTTAGATTTTGGAAGATATTTTAAGCCTATTTGAGGCATATTCAACAACGTTCAACAATATATTCCCTAACTCAAAATGACAGAAAATGACAGTGCTAATTTTCAATTGTCAAGAGTCTGCACAGTTCTGAGCTGGAAAATGTGAGGGAAGGAAGAGACTCAGAGTAACCATTCCCTAGAATCTCTCAGGATATATATATAGATGTTTAGTTATAGTTTTAATGTGGCAAGATTCTATTAGATGTAAGCAGATAAAGTATTGGATTTGATTGGATCTCACTGTCTCATATGTGGGCCTGAGCCTGGCATGTATATACAGATAGTCCTTGACTATCCACAATCATTGGAAATTATGATGGACCTTCCTGAAGTTCCAGTGGAACCACTAGCACCACTTCATGGACATGTAATTACATTTCAGCTGCTTAGTAACTGACTTGCATTGATGGCTGTTTGCAGTGTCCCATGGTCATTTGACCGTGGTTTTGCCAAATATCAGTGCTTCCTTTTTTTGGCAAAACTTGCCCCTAGGGATCCATTGGCTGACTTAACTACTGCAGTGTTTGCTTAACAACTGTGGTGATTGCTTTATGATCGTCACATAAAAAGGTTGTAAAATTGAATCAGTCATGGGAGTGACCAGAGTTACGACTTACAGCAATGATGGGCAGGCTCCATTACAACCATAACTGAGGACTACCTGTAATTTCCAACAATTTTCTTTGAAGCTCTTGAATTATTTCCATAATACTTAAATCTCTAAATCTTTTTAATTTCTTGCATCTGATGATATGCAAAAAGTTTCTCTCCCGTATTGCTAAATTTCAATTTAACTATGTAAAATGAACTTTCAAAGATTAATAATATATTAATATATTTCATTATATTCCAAATTATGAATTTAATAGTATTAATAAACTATTATAACATTATTCTGTTTTACAGATGAAATAATTGGAAGGTTTATCAGATCTTTGCAGCAACAAGGAATTCCATTTTTAGCCATTTATACAGCAAAGCAACCATCACAGGTCAGTACTTCCCCAAAACCTGAAATATAAAATGTCATGCTGCAATTTAATTCCTTTGCCCACTAGTTATGTACAAAATGGTCTGGTGATATCCAATCATAATTGCGCCAAAATAGCTTCAATTTATCCTAGTGATTCCTGTGGAAGGGGAATTTTAAAAACCAAGATGGCAGTCATGATTGTGTGATCAAAACCTCTCCCCTTTTATACATTGTCAATTGTGTGACAAATGTAAAAAAGGGACAGAGACTCAAATCCTGAAGAAATTTCTGATTACTTTAAGATTATGAAGGTTAGGTGACACAATGAAGTCACTATATATCACTAATGGGGACATGGTTTTGTGAATTACTTTTTGCTGTAATGTATTTGTTTTTCACATTCCACAAGAGAACTGTGATTAAAATGGTATTGATTTAAAACAAAGGTTTAAAGCTTCAGCATTTTATTGCTTAAAAATATTGCCCCTCTTGTTAACAACCTGAAACTTGATGAATTCTATAAATGTGCTAGATTTCAAATCAATCTGATTAAAAAGGCAACAGGAACAGCAAGTTCCGATTAGAGCATATAATATACTTCTGTCCAATAAAAATTATTAAAGTGTTTTATTAGGAGTTACTGTTAATGAAATCCTGAATTGTGCTTCTGAAGTTATTATTTTTCCCTGATTAAAGCTTGCAGCAATTTTATTCTAAGAGTAAAATATTGTTCTCTGAAGGTGCTATCAAGAGGCCTTTATGCATTATATCTTCTGTTACAGTTTAGGAGTGTGTCCTAATTAATATTATGTTAATGATAGCATAAATGAACGTTAGTTTGTGATAAAATGTGCAGTTGCGGCTCTTCTTTTTAGTTCACCACCATTTATAGTGAAAAGCTGAATAATATTGGTAATGAATCAAATGTGCACAGAGGTGAGGCAAAGACAAGGATGAAATGTCGATTGTGACATTGTGACACAAACCTATATCGTTTAAATGCTACTTATACAAGTAGAAAAAGCCAGTGATTCCATTGCAATATAATAATGCCCATTTTGGCATCAACATACGTACGAAGAGATGCCTAAGGGGAGGGTGGTTGCCTTGTGGATCACAGAACCCCAAGTGGATATTAGTGGATGATTCCTGCCTAAAAAAAAATTGTGCGGACAAAGCTTTAGGTACCAGAACAAGTCTGCTCTTTCAAACATAGGAATACTGTCTATTCTGTCTCTTTAACTGATTATTAATGCTGGGATGAAAGGATTAGTTTTGAGCTAAATGGTTAGACTTGGGGCCCAACATTTACATCTCTTTTTTCTCTCAATTTCAGACAGAAATTTGTCTGTTAGTTATTGCCCAGTTGTAGAGATTAAAAAACAAACAAAAGAAACAATAGAAAGAAAAGATAGAAACATTTCTTCATGTGTGTGTGTGTGTGTGTGTGTGTGTGTGTGTGTGTGTGTGCGCACGTGCTCTCTCAAGTCAATTTTTGACTCCTGGAAATTGCCTGGACAAGTCCTTGCAGGTTTTTTTGGGAAAGATTGTTCAGAAGTGGTTTGCCATTGTCTTCTTCCTAGGACTGAGAAAGAGTGCTAGTCCAAGGTCATTCAGCTGGCTTTGTTCCTAAGATGAGACTAGAACTTCCAGTCTCCCAGTTTCTAGCTTGATGCCTTAACCACTTTATCTTTCTTCATTTATTGCTCAAATGAATACTTATTGTTTAATATAGGAAGTTCATTTTTATTTCTGTTGTGGAATTATTCTATGTAGCAGTATATCCGACTCACTTATATACAGGCTACCTTCTATTAGAAGCTCATCAAACTGTAAAGAAAGGAGAAGAAACTATCTTACACTTCAGCAGGTACCACATTGCCTTTATTCACAGGGTCAATCAGATGGTGATGTTTCTCATTCCTATCACACCAACCTCTCTTTTAGGATTTTCTGATACTTTTGTCTTTGTGTTTGCCCAAAATGAACCACACTTGCTCAAGATACAACTTCCTAGTCCTTCATTGTATCTACCTGAAGGCTGAGAGAAGCAAATTTGTACCTGTTCATTTTGCAGCAGTACCAGAAAGTTCACTGTTGTCTTTGCTCATCAATTCAATTTCCCACTTTAATTGCTAATCATCCCTTCCTTTAAACATTAACATTTATATTTCCCCTTTGCAAAGCTTAACTAGGTTTGGAACCTTTTGAAAGAGTGATACTCTTGCTTTCTCAGTATATTGCTGATGGAGTACTTTTATCCTGATCATTGTGCTGAAAATCAGCATGCCTGATTAGGCATGAATTATGGGTAAAAGAACCACTGCCAGTTCACTGAAAAAACAGAGGAACAGCCAGTGGAGAACATCCCAAATCTTTGTGGAAGTTGGCAGACCAACATTCCCTGTTATTATTACTTACACTTAATTTTTCTGCTTCCATCAGAAATTTTTCTGTCCTTGTTTCACACATGCATTGCACAAAGCCACAGGACAGCAGGAAAAAAACAAAAATGGAACAGCTGGACTAATCTCATTTCTGCATCAGCTTGTAAGTTCTAGGTCTGAGTTTGAGAAAGAACTTCAGGTTAACCATATTTTCCAAGGGCAGAAGATAGGATGGAGGGGGCCACTCCCAATAACTAACTTTCAGTATAAGGCAGTGGTTCTCAACCTTTTTAATGCCGCGACCCCCAACCGGTCGTAAGTCGAGGACTACTCAACCGGTCGTAAGTTGACGACTACTCAACTGGTGCAGCACCGTTTGCAGAATGGGACTTTTGGCGGGCTCAGCAGGGCAAAGACAGCCTGGACTCTATTCAAGAGAGTCTATCCTATTGGCTTTCAAAAGCCAATAGAATAAAAGGGAGTAGCACAGCTAAGGAAAAGGGGAAAAAAATGGCGGACTGCGTTGTTTGGCGACCCCCGTGAAATGGTTGTTCGACCCCAAATGGGGTCCCGACCCACAGGTTGAGAACCACTGGTATAAGGCATGGGGAAACAGCCTTTCTTCCAATGTAGAAATGATCATGTTTCCAGGTTCATATTGGATATGCCAATAAATTGGCTAAGTGCGTTCTATAGGAATTGTCCACAGATATCGTTTTAAAAAAGTAAAATTAGTAGCCACAATGGTGTGGATGAAGCTCTGCCTGATTTTTATGTGCATCTTACATATAATAAAGATTTTTAAAATGGGGGGGGGGAGTTCAATCACACTATTCTAGTCATCATCTAGACATTTTCAACTATATCTGATTTTGGCTAATGTGACTGATAAAAAACCTTGGACTTTTACAATTGTATTGCTGTTCAAAAAGCTGATCTGCTGATCAACAAAAAAATTAGTGAAGGTAACAAAATGGGCATTTTTGATACCCTTCACTATCTTGTTTAATCCATTCTACCAATGACTTAGTAACCAACTCAACAAGAAGATTCCTTCTAACAGTGTAGCTAATTTTAGGAGTTCCAAAAGACAGTGGAAAAGTAGAACTTAAACATCTTTTTTGCCAAAAGTACTCCATCTTCCTCATCTGTATTATGGTTGGAATATCTAGGACAAATGGAGATGGCCAGAAGTAAAGATAGCAGCCAACACAACTGACAGGATGACAAGATATGGCGGTCTATCTATTGAAACATTAGTCTGAGCTTTCAATCTTCTGTCTTTGTGAAACTTAAGCCAACATAACATTGACTTAACTCTGGTCTTAAACTAGTAGATCATTTATTGTTGATTTTTAAGAATCACTACTGAATATTGTTAGTTCAATCCTGAGATAGCGGAAAGGCTTAAGATAGAAGAAAAAAGAGAATTAGCGTTTTTAATGGAGTTTTGTAAAATGGACTAATCTTCACAATTTGCTTTAACAAGATATGGAAACTGACAGGAGAAAAGTAATAAGATGAGCTAGGGGGTCTTTTAACTGACAAGATTACCTGGCTGCTTTCAAATCAATACAGATAGCTTTTAATGTCCTTCAATACCTGTACGGAAGATGGACTGCATCTAATTTGTTTAAATATTGGAAAGAGGATTGTTAATTTATCTGAAAGTATAATATGGCCCTTTCCAAACGCTGTCAGTAATTAACTAGGCCTACTTTCCCCAATCTTGTCTTTCATAAGACATTTGAGCTATGTCATTTCACAATTAGTGTAGACTTTTAAATGCAGACTGGTAGTTTCTTTAGTCCTCTTCTCTGTTTGGCAGATCTTAAGTCTTCCTGTAAGTACAGTATTGCTTATATAGTTTGGAATATGATACATATTTACAGTTGCTTGAGAGATTTTTAATAATTATGTTGGTGCCCTTGAAACTTCATTTCCCTGAAGTTATTGTATGACTTACATTAAATGATGGAGGCATAGATATCTGTGATATTCATAATTTTATGAGTGATTGCAAATGCACCTTGATGTCATTACTTAAATGATGTGATTATGTGATTGTTGTCTGATGCAATAATAATAATAATAATAATAATAATAATAATAATAATAATAGTAATAATAAAATTGGAAGGGGCCTTGTAGGTCATCTAGTCCAACCCCTTGCTCAGGCAGGAAACCCTATACCATTTCAGACAAATGGCTGTCCAGTCTCTTCTTAAAAACTTCCAGTGTTGGAGCATTCACCACTTCTGGAGGCAGGTTGTTCCACTGGTTAATTGTTCTAACTGTCAGGAAGTTTCTCCTTAGTTCTAGGTTGCTTCTCTCCTTGATCAGTTTCCATCCGTTGCTTCTTGTCCTGCCTTCAGGTGCCTTGGAAAATAGCTTGACTCCCTCTTCTTTGTGGCAGCCCCTGAGATATTGGAACACTGCTATCATGTCACCCCTTGTCCTTCTTTTCATTAAACAATAAATTACATTATTGGCATGATTATGTCAAGACTTAAGTATAGTCATCTGCGCCTGCCACCCCTTATACTACCTGCCACCAGTGGCTGGAGAACGTCTTTATGTTGTGGAACTGTTTTTCAAAATATAAAGCTTCCTCTCTCACTAGACCAGGGGT